TCGATCGCCTGAAGATGCTCGAGTCAGAAACAATCGACAGCTTTGCCGGAAAGCTGTCCGGAATCGCGTCTACATCGTCGGCATTAGGAGAAACGATTGAGGAATCAAAATTGGTGAAGAAATTCCTCAAATCATTACCCAGAAACTTCATTCACATCGTTGCATCTCTTGAATAGGTACTAGATTTAAAATCGGTAGGGTTTGAAGACGTAGTGGGTCGATTGAAGGCATATGAAGAAAGAATAAGGGAAGTCGATGCTGGAGAAGGACAATCGAGGGTTCTATTTGCCGAAAAATCGACCGGAGATGGAGGTGGGTCGTCGACTGGTGGGGGTAACTCATCGGGAATGAAGGGAAACTGGAAAGGATCGAATGGGTCTAATAAAGCGAATGAGTTTAATGGGACTAATGGGTTGAGTGGATCCGGATTTGGAGGATCACATGGGTCAGGCGGGACCAAAGGGAATAATAGGGTTTCTCAAAGCAATCGGCCCAATAAACTGTCCAATTCTAATTCTGATTGCAAAAATTGTAATTATTGTTGTGGTAAGAATCGGAAAAATAGGGAAAAGGATCGATCTAAGGTGATTTGTTTTTGGTGTGACAAACCGGGTCACTTTGCTTCTGAATGTCCGGAACGACTCCAAAAATTACAAGATGGTGATTTTTCGGAACGTGATGACAATGATGAATCCGTTTTTTAAATACGGATCGGGTTGAAGAATTCTCTAGAAGGACTTAGAGATTCGGGGGTGATTGTTGGAATCCTAAGTCTTGGGGTCCAAGCAATCTAATTTATGGAAAGTTTAGTTTATGACAAGTTGGTCATAAGTTTCCTAGTCTAATACTAGTTGGTATGTTAGGCTATATATACATGCCCATAATCGAGTTTATGATTATGAGAACAGATTGTAAAAACATTGGTTTTGAGTGATTTTCCAATTAATCAAAGAGTTATTTTGGTTATTTATTTTGCATTCTTGTTTTCAAAACTTTAGAAAGAGCACTTTGCTCTAGGTTTTGGTAGCCCAACTCAGCAAGTCCAAATACCAAGATAAATCCTTACATGAGCAAAAGACCATTTTGCCCCTCTAAATCATCAACCCATCATAGTTGACCAAAAGTCAAATTGATCAAAAAGTCAACGATCAACCTTTCATTGACTTACGTGCGATGTACGTCACTTTATGCAGGGCGTAGAGTCCTATTCATAGAACATGCAAGAATCAGGCTACGTTGGGCGTAGCCCAGATTATGCCCTGCATACGACGTCCTTTGTAAAACTTCATTTTAAGCACTTAATACATTAAGACATTTCACTCCAAGCTCAAATCTGGATCATAATATCTCCATAATAGATAAACAAGATCTAGTCTTTAAGTCTTAAAAGGACCAAAAATGCATCTTTCTCGACTTAATCCATTAAGCCCACATCTCCAACCTTCAAATTTTAATGAATATGATGTTTAGATGGATAAAGTTTCCAACTTTATCCATAACAAGGTCACAAACTATCAAGATCTAAACTTATTGCACTAAAATGACAAAAAAGTGGCAAATATGACAATTAACTAGATTTATGAAACCAATGAGCAAGTTAGAAGTTTTTACTCATAACGGTCCGTGAATGATGTACTCTTGCTGGATCTATACTTTAACTCTTCGTCTATACACTTTGCCACCACCTTGCTCTTCAAGATTCAACTTTGCAATGGAGAAATAAGTCATAAATGACGCCAAGGATAAAAAACAAGTAAGAGGAGGCTAGGGTTTCTCAAGGAATGATCTTAGGTGATAGAGTCTGGTAATGAGAGGGTTTCCTATAAGTTAGAGCCCTTAAATATGGCTCAAAATTGAAGATTTAAGGTTTTGATTTGCCCAGATTATGCCTTGCGTAACATAAGTTACGCCCTGCATAGTTCATTAAACCTGTGTTATGCCATACGTAATTCAAAAGTTCCTAATTTCCACTTCAACTTCAAACAACCATAACTTCTTTGTTTTAACTCCGTTTCCAACATTCTTTATATGCACGAAAATGTATTAAAGAGCACCACTGCAAAAATACAAAATATAAACATCAAACCTTGTAAATTAAATATAAGGGACAAAAAAAGTAAAATTGCACTCCAACAAAAAACACAAAGGCAAGCTTTCCGTGTTGGATGTTAAGTTGAGGATGGTTGTGTAAATATTGGGATTATGGACAGGTAAAGATAATTTTTATCATTTCAAGTTCATATTTTTTTGGTTAAATGTAAGAAATAGCAATTTACTTTCATTTCCTCCTATTACAACATTATAGTTTGAAAATGTTATAGAATTATGGTAATGTCATCCAAAGACAAATCAATTTTCAAACTACAATGTCCTAATAAGAAAAAATTGAAAGTATATTAATAGTATAATTATGATGATTTTTGAAACTACAATTCATTTTTAAGAAAAAAGGGAAAGTACAATGCTATAAATTTAATAGAAAGAATGAAAGTAATGTGTTATTTCTTGCATAAAACTATTTTTTTGCCGACTTATTTTCAATTATTCTTATTTTGCGGTATATCTTATAATGGCATTATTTCTTTTAATTGAGTTTCAAAAGATTGTTATGTTGAATGGTTTGTACCTATCTGGTATAGGAATAACCTATTATTTATGTTTAGAAAATTTGCATTAGATTTCTTATATTTGGTGTATGTTTAATCAGGTTTTTGTGTATTTAATAGAAAAAATGTGGGTAACTAATTATTTATTTATTTGTACTAGTAGAATTGTTATTTCCGACGATTTAGTGACGAAAATCTGCTAGTAAAAATATTATATAATCTGTTGCTAAGCTGTTATGCTATTCCATCGGTATTCTGTTACTGAAGGATTCCGTTGGTAACTGAGAGAATCTGCCGATAACTCGTTACTAATTACCGACGGAAAACCCTATCGCTAAAATTTTTCGTAGCCGTTGGAAATCCGTTGCAAACATTTAACAACAAGAATATAACACCAGATCTGGTTCCGTTGCAATTTCGTTGGTAACGACAAATTACCGACGGTTTAGGTCATCGGTAATGCCCTTTTTTTTTGCTGTAGTGGGAGGACGACGCTGGAGGAGTCAGTCAACTCTTTTTTTGATGTGAAGGAGTACCACGTATTTTGGGAGAAGGGCAAACAAAAGATTTTTCTCAGGCGACTCTTTTTTCCATCTTCAAATAAAGTATTTTCTACCGTAGCACCATGAATAGGGCATAACAAAGCATTGCCCAATACACCAACAACTCCCATCATATGAATAGGGCAAAAGATTATGTTATGAAATCCTTGATAAAAGAGGATAAATCGAAATATAACTCCTACACCAAAACTACGCGCAAAGAACCAACCAAACCGACCTATCGAATCAACTACTACTATTGTGGATCAAGTTAGAGATGTGGACCAGCTCAGATAGCGAAACAAACAACCTCACCTAACCATCAGACAAAAACCTTTTACAGACCGGTCAGCATAATCAAACAGGCCTTCAGTTGAACTAATAATTGATTAAGGGGGTTCAATTTTGTCGCACCAGTTAAAATAAAACCGGTTTATTTTGAATACCAAAATAGGGGCTAACCTTATTATGCGGAAAAATTAGAACACCGTGGAATAAGAATTCTTTCAAGTTTAGAAAACCTCAATCCCTTATGACCTAATCTATAAAAAGTCAACAGATCAACTAAAAAAAATAGAAAAAATAAAATAAAATAAATCCCCTCGCAGTCTAGCCACTTTCACAACATTCAGCCATTGGTCAACTCTCAAGGAATCTCATCAACCGCCGCCGCTCTGCGCCAGTGATCTCACAGATCTTTGCTGTCACCACCTCTCGCGGTATATCTCCGTCACTCTCTCACACTCTTATTCTATAGATGTCTCGCCGATTTTCATCCTTGTTAATTTAATTTGTTATGATTCATGTAAAAAATCGATTAATCCAGCAAGTAATTAAAGAAAACATTTGTCACCAAGAACAACGTAATATTGTCCTTAAAATCCATATTTATTGGTGAAAACCTAGAATTCCAACGTGTAAACCAATCAGTTGAATATTTTATCACCAAAAAGCAAAACTAATATTGGGTTGGGAATAGCCTAAAAACTGATCTAATCCCATACAAGATTCCACACAAGAAACCTCTGCAACACACTACGTTTCTATAAAGTAGATTTTATGTCTTGATCCAAAAGAACTCAAGGCTAAAGCAGGTATCTCTTTTTATAGCTTGACAATTCTTCATGAACTAATTAACAATCAGGCACTGAAGTCAACTTAACTTACCATGTCTACAAAGCAACACATATAAAGCTAATTAATTCTTCATATATTCTGTTGTTAGGAGGTTTCCTTCCGAGTTGTGTTTAGTTTAAAATATTGTGTTCATATTTACTATTTATATTAGTCTTTACGTAAGAGTTTTTTGAAACTTCAAAGTCGATATGTTTAGTTTAAAATGTGTTAAATCTTTCTTTTTTGGGTTTATTGAAAATCAATATATGTAAGTTAAAAAGTAGTTACTATTTATATTAGTCTTTACGTAAGAGTTTGTTGAAACTTCAAAGTCGATATGTTTAGTTTAAAATGTGTTAAATCTTTCTTTTTTGGGTTTATTGAAAATCAATATATGTAAGTTAAAAAGTAGTTAATATTTATATTAGTCTTTACGTAAGAGTTTGTTGAAACTTCAAAGTCGATATGTTTAGTTTAAAATGTGTTAAATCTTTCTTTTTTGGGTTTATTGAAAATCAATATATGTAAGTTAAAAAGTAGTTAATATTTATATTAGTCTATACGTAAGAGTTTTTTGAAACTTCAAAGTCGATATGTTTAGTTTAAAATGTGTTAAATCTTTCTTTTTTTGGTTTGTTGAAAATCAATATATGTAAGTTGAAAATGTGTCAATTGTTTTGCAGCTCTTAACAGAAATTTTCAAATGCTAAGGAAAAAAGTAGACTTGAAATCGACTATGGAGAATCTCCCACGTGAAGTTTTATCTAACATTTTCATCCGATTATTGGCCAAACAACTTTCTCAAATGAGGTGCGTATGTAAATCTTGGAACGCTCTCTTATCCGAATCCTCCTTCATAAAATCCCACCTCCATCACTCTACCCATCACAACGACGAGATTCTCTTGTTCTTCAGCCGAGTATTTTCTTTTTACCATAATCCATTCATACACCCCTCTCCATTAACACCACACCCCTTTCCATTCACAGCACACCCATCTCATTCTCCTAATCTCAAACTCAAACCGAGTAATCTCTTCAAACTCCCGGATAAACCCAAATCCGAATATAGTCATGGCAATGTCATCGGATCTATAAATGGCTTGATATGCTTTAACTACGGACCATTTTCTTTGCCTTCCCGTGATTATGCAATTTACGTTTGGAACCCTTCTCTATCATCGGTGTTAACTCTCCCCCCATGTCCTCTCCCCTCGGGTGATTCTAAGACAAAAACCAATTTCCGATTTGGGTATGATCCCAATACTGATGATTACAAAGTTGTCAAGCTTACAAGCCTTGTACCACAAGTTGCGGTTTATAGCATGAGAAAGGGTTCATGGGACTTAATTACTCAAAGGTTTCCGTTGAATATGAGAATAGTTAAGCGTAAACCCGAAGTTTGTGTAGATGGCTATAACGGCCGACTTCATTGGCTTTGTTATATTAAATTTAAGCGGAAGTTAGAAAGGGTAGTGGCATTTGATTTGGGTGAAGAGACGTTTAGTGTGATACCTCTTCCGGATTCTATACTACAACACGATCAAAACAGATGGAATTGTTGGATTAATGTCTAAGTCCATAACTATAATTGGTGAGACTTGACCCGACCCGGCATGGTCCATTTGGGTTGCATGGCATCATGCACTTGGATAGACTATAATGAGAGAAATAAGACACTTATGGTTATTAATATATTATAAGTTCTAGTATATTAATAATAAGAATAATAAGATTATTTAATTAAAGTATTGATCAAGAATTAATCTAGGATTAATTAAGTGATCAAAAGAAGACTAATTAAATATATGGGTTGATTGTGTAAATCATCCATACTTATATAGTGGGCTAATGCTCCATGGATTATCTAGTTGGGCCAAAACCCATATGATGCTCCATGGATGCTCCATGGTGTATTTGAACCCATGGATCCAAGGAAATGGAAAGTCATGACAATTAGCGTTTACCCTAATTGTAACACTATATAAAGATATTATTCTTCCCAAAATCAGTCACTAGATTATTCTAGAGAGGGCTAACCGATTTCATGAAGTGTTCTAGTTTCTCTCAAGTTATTCCAAGTGTATTTGGTGTTGTGTGAACCATTTGAGGTGTCACACTTGAGGCACTAAGCACTCAAGCTTCATGAAGACAAGCACTATCAAAGAGGTATGTATTCTATCTTGTTATATCCATTATTTTGTATGCTAGATTAGGATAATACCTTGGATGTTCATATTTGCATGTATAATAGAGAAAACATAGATCCAAGGTATTTAGGGTTGCATGTACACTTAGGAGTGTTAGAATGCTCATAACCCAACAGTGGTATCAGAGTCTAGGCTTGTTTTCTTGTTATACCTGCAATAGAAGCTGAAAAATCGAGTTTTGATGCTGTCAGCCCAACTGAGTCGCCGAGTCCATAAAGGGACTTGACGAGTCCAAGGCAAAATGCATCCAACTCGCCGAGTTGAGTTCATGCACTCGACGAGTTGGACCCCAGACAGCATATCTTCGAGGTTTTTGGCTAGAAATGGACTAGGAACATTACCCTAAGGTGTTTTGAACTTATAAACTTGTTTTTAAATGTGGTAATGTTCATGCTAATCCATTTTCAAGATAATTGTCAATAGATTCATGTTTTGTATTAGTTTAAAGGTTAGACTAATTACATGAAAAAGTTTGATTTGAATTATCTTGTTCTTATGAGTTGCTTAGATTAATAGAAAAGTTGAGTGAAAAAGTTGTTTTCAATCCAAATTAATCTAAGAGTTGAGTATAAAATGTGTTTGTGTAACTTATCCTTAAGTTACATGAAGAGTCACATTAAAGACTCATAAAACTCATAAAGTTGGCAAAGGTTACAAAAAGATGAAGAGTCTTGTCCTTAAGTTATGGAGGTTCAAGAGTCACTTCATTAAAAATAAATAAATAAAATATGTAACCTTAATTAATTCCATAAGTTATAAAATAAAGAAAAGATTAATTCTTTATTAGTTTAAAGTCTTCCATAATTTGTCCACAAGTTATGGAACTTGAAGAGTTTTTGGATTAAAACTACTTTAAATACATAAGTTATGGAATTAATTAGTTTTGAATAGTTTCAAAACTTGCCCTCAAGTTTTGGAATTTGTAAAGTTTTCTCTTATGAATACTTTAATTCCAAGTTAGCCCTTAGAATTTTAAAAGTTAAAATTCAACCCTTATACTTTATAATATTATAAGTTAATAATATTTATATGTATAAGAGTAAAGTCGGTCTTACCGCTAGTACGCCTCATTCACGAAGCCGGTCTATAAGGTGGGTATAAGGTTGTTGCCTATAAAATGGCAACTTAATGGGTGTTCACTCTCACCCACCGCTCGCTTGACTGGTGGAGGGTCGTTAGCCGAACGGGTTTGACATGACTATAATTCTCCCTTCATTAAAAGTATTAATGATAAATACTAAGTAACTAAACTCTTAATAATACCCAATCTTAGTTACTTAGGAAAAATGTGAATAAGGTGCTAATCCATGAAATTACACTTTGCACTTTGTTTAAGTCGGTTAGTGGAGCGTGTGTGGTTAACCGGCACACTAACTCGTATTTAACAAGGTAGGCAAAGGGTAACTTAATGTTTATCATAGTATCGATGGAGCGTGTGTGGTTAACCGGCACATCGATTGAGGGATAAACACTTAAGGGTACCCAGTAATTTGCATGGTTACTTCACACCTTGTTTTGTGATCCTCGGCATCCCAGTCACAAAACCTGAAGGGCACACTCGAGATTGAAACATGCCATTGAACAGTTCAATGAATCTCAAAAGATCTAGGAGTTTCAAAACCAATTAAAACCTAATAATACATTTCGTTTATCTTGGTGGAAATTGGTGAATCGTCATTCACCTACCTTCAAATTGTTTTATAGCTTGGATTACGGCATACCTCTTCTAAGTTATAAAATAGTTTGTTGGGTCCTAGCCTTAATATTTTCATATTGGGTGTCATATTAAGGACTCAAAGATCAACTATCTTGAATATCTCCCATAACATGTCTGGTTTAGACATTTATGATCTTCCCAAATCTCTTGAAACAAGCTTTCCTAAATGAAGATGATGTCCCATGGATATCATACTTCTTTCTCCTCCTCCAATTATTCTCCCTAACCCACAAGTTCTTGAAAAGTTTAAGGTCACTCAAGCCCTATGGCAAGGCAAGGTCTAGGTGTGATCACATCTTGGAGATGTAGTCACATATTGACAAGCCGGGAGAGTTGGGTGTCAAAGTCTTGAGAAAGTTGGTGGTTCAATCACTTTCTAAGTCACATAGTGAGTTCCTTTGGGACACCTATGAAATAGACTATGACAAGACCCTTAATGATCTTATCTATTGTTAAGATCAACTTCCTGAAACTTTATGGACATTGACAATGTGACACAGGAAATACAGAAAAAGCATTCTCTTCCCAATGGAAAGGGATCGGCCATAGTCAACTCGGTTGAACAAATGGTAAAGAGAAAAGCTAAGTCTGTGATAGTCCGTGTACCATTATCAAAGGGTCCATATGTTTATATTGCCAAAGAAGGGTCATTAGTTGCGAAGCTGCCAATTTACCTAAGGATGTTAAAGTCAATAAGTTGACTCTACTTCAGGTAAAGTCCACTATCTAACTCTGTTAAGTTTCTATTCTGAGATTCCTTGATACATGATGTGACTGGGTCACATGGTAATGTTTTAAGAATCAAAGAAAAGTAAAGGAACTTAAAGAAAGAATATGCTGAATCTGATCGCATAGATGGATTTCTATCGCGTAGTTTGAAATCGGATTCTTGAGCTACTTCTTAGGAGTTATGAGATATTGCTTAGGAATAGATAACAACAAGTTTTCATATGGATTGTAAGGATAAGTTTTTCCGCATAGTTTTAAAATAAAAGAAAATTTTGATTTTATTTATTTTAAAATATCCTTACAATGGCATTTGAGGAAAAATTGTTGCTTATATGATTCCATTAATAGCAAGAGTGGAAATATGAAATTGATTCCTTCATTTGTGGTAATGTCTAAATTTACCAAATAAGGAAAGATTCTCATCACCCAAGTCTCAATTGGACCGGGACTTGGAATCATGCAAGTTGTATAGCATGATGAATGAGAACTTTCAAGTATTGGAAAAATTAAGACTAATTACTTATTCACATGGATGTGTGAGTCAAGTAATGGACTAAGGGATCGAGTACATAGTCATGTGCACTGATTAAGTCCACCACAAAAGATTAAGGCTATTCGTCATAGTTTACTAAAGCTCAGTAAATATGATTATACTTACAAGCTTAAGTGTAACTCTGAGACATTGGAAAAGGTTCCAATGCATAGGCAGAGCGAATAAGAAGAATCAAATTAGGCAGAAGGATAAAAGTTTCTCAAATCTGAAAAGATGGGAGAGTACTTTAGTATCAGTTTTGTGATCATCTTAATGATTAAGAAACCATATCAAAATTAGTTCTCTAAGGAAGTCTTAGTGCATTCTTATGACTAAGAAGAAGGGATCTTGAATTGTTGAAATGGTTAAATCAAGAAGATGAGTCATACTTCGTTCCAATACAAGTCTTAGAGTCATACTCCAAGATTGTAATTTGAGTGACATGTCTTAAAGAAGGTTTAAAACACTTGACAAATGTAAGAGTAAAAGTTTTCTACTCTTGTACATTTGAAATTGGTAAGTTGTGATGTTTTGGATAAAACAAAGACCAACTTAGGCCAATTGTGTGAAGTGTTTGTCTTGATTAGAATCCACACTATCTCTTGGATGTTTGACAAGGGAGTCTTATAGGTCAAGAGGACAGTGGGAGTCTTAAAGGTCTTGAAAGTCTCAAGAACTAATCAAGAATGAAACCTAAAGTTCTTCACTAGCACACGACTTAGGTTTATAACCTATCGTGTTGACATATTCTGTGCCCATTCCAGTTAAAGTTGGCTTTGCATATGAGTTCTTAGAGTTCTCAATGTGTTGCACAACAACTTGGAAGCAATGGTAGGCCCTTGAGCTGCCAGGTGGCAAGAAATTAAGATTGAGTTCAGTCCATATGAGTTTGGATTTGTCATTATCCTTGTCTTGTGACTATGGTTTTGACAATTCACATGGATAAGAACACATACACCATTAAATCTAAGTGTCATAAGGTTTCTCTCCGATTCATGAAAATGATGGTGAGGAAACACTTTCACTAAGTAGATTTTAGCTAGATAGCAATTGTGATATTTGCATTCTCAAAGTCGTTAGTGGAGCGTGTGTGGTTTACCGGCACACTAACTTGGACTTGTGAGAAATGGCAAAGGTCAAAACGATCAAGACTATGATTACGGCATCCCTTTTCATAGTTCTTAAAATTGTTTTGACACACATGAGCTATCTAAGGGAAGGTGTATGTTTTTGATAAAGTCTTATCAAAACAATCTAGTATCAGAAATCTGAACTTTGGTAAGAAAGTCAATAAAGTATTGATTTCTAGAAGTCGAGCTTTCTGAGTACATGTCAAAGCTAGTGGGAGCATAAGTGTTATGCTAATAATCATCATGTTAGTGGGAGCAT